TACGTGCAACTCCATTGCCGTTTGTGCAGAGATGCTATGCACGAGGCCGCCTGTGACAGCATCTTAATTGAGCGCTAGGAGCGCCCTTCACGTGCATAAAGAGCGTGCTTTACGCGAAATAGAATTTACATGGATTCCCAACGCTTTTGGCTTAAGTTTTAGATAAATAAACGCACCCATGGCAATATAGTAACAAACATAACAAGTGTATTATAATTATAATTCGGACCAGTTGCTAACGTCAAAGAATAACATGGCAAATACCGATACTCAGCGCTCCCAAATGTTTGTGGCACAATGCAGATGCAACAAAGAAGTACGTTTTGAATCGCGTTTACATTTCATGATTTCGTTTTTGGGTCTGAGCGCAAAAGTAAAATGTGTTTCAATCCTCGTCCGCCCGACAAAGCCTACTATAGAAGTTGTCACGTGATTCAAACAGTGCCAATGTATCACTGCCAGCAGCACGCCGGCATGTTGGAAAGTATTCCACAGCAAATTAACAAATGGGTACTCTTCAAATGGGTACTCTACCAACACGTTAAACGTTGTTCACGTGACTTCTTAGATTGGGGCACCACTGTGGTGAGATGTTACCTGCCCCGCTTAGTATGCAGGAGTTCGTGGGTTCGATCCCGACCCTGGAGTTTGCACGTTCTCCTCGTGGTCGCGTGGATTTCCCTTCGGATCCTCCTGAGTTGTTTTCCTGCACATCCAGAAACGTGCGTTTGCGGTATTTGGCTGCTATCAATGTCCACGTGATACGCCACTTCGTTGAGCTATCAATTGTGGCCAGGTCGCTTCTGATAGACGAGCTATATCGCTCATATATAGGTGGAGGAGGGTGTGCGACATCCGTTTAACGGGAGAGATCTGACTCTAAAATTTGATTATGAATCATATTGATCGTGAAGGCCTACGTGTTAAATTGACATGTACGGTCATCAAAACTATCTGCTCCTATGTTGCTAGCAAAACATTCAATTCTGGCAGTAGACATTTATACTTAAAATCTAAATAATAGATGATTGGCTGTTTAATTGTGCGGATATTAAATCTCTACGGTTGGAGTTAGCATATCTTCTTGGTGTTTAGACATTACGTCCTATGATGTTTCAAAAGAGAGGTCGTTTCATAACGTTGGAGCCAGAAAGCCAAAAGGAAAACTCCACACCCAAAGTCACGCATGGGGAGCCCTATAAACATGCAACGCTGAGCCAACACGTTTCCTGGGAAGGAAGGAACCACAAGGTAGTTCTCTGTGCGTTGCATCTCGAGACACGTGGCAATAAAACATTGTAAACGTGCCACGCAGTATTTGCTCGCTTTCGTAGACGGAGAACGACTCGGAGGCGCGAGGAGGGACCACAGACAAGCGGAAAGGCAGCCAGACGGTGATCCAGCGCCAACAATTTCCCAAGCGCTGCGATCCTCTTTGTGTATGAAGGCGTGTTACTGGCCAATTAATGAGCGTTTACATGTGGGAGGAAACCAGAGTTCCTGGAGAAACCCCACGCGTGCCAGGGGGGGATAGTACTATCCCATACAGACAGAACAGGTGAAGTCCACATTTTTTTATGTGGCCAGTCAATGTATGGCTTCCCCTTAATTTGTGTGTGATCCAGCAGCTCTCGTTGCCTCCACAGTGCTGGATTACAGGCCACTCGCTTAGCAACTACCAGCGTCCAGCTATTCTCAGTCACGGCTCGGCTGTAGCTTGGCCTCTTAACACGGATCGGCTCAAGACTCGAGCTGCTAATTCTCTTCCAAAGAGGCATGGGCGAACGGCTCAGCAGTGACTTGGACTCAGGCTCAACTCATTTAAATCCTCACTCAGCACGGCTGGGAACATTCTCAGGAGCCGGATGGAAGTTGATAGGCATGGATTTGGGGCAGCTCACTTGAGCCAGAGTCATAACTGTCAACCCATACGGTTTACCCGTGCCCTTGTACAGGGAAATAGAGTTTTCAAGTCCATACGGCGTACAGCCGTTACAATACGGGCAACAACAAAAAAAAATGTTTGTCTATTTGTTTGTGTTTCTCCCTTGTGATGGGACCTTGCAGGGTGTGATTGGACTTTCAAACGTTGAGATTCACAAGGGCACGGGGTGACCATTAATATCTGAAATTGTCTGTAATAAGGTAGGCACTGATAAGCGGTTTAGAGGTATGCAGATCCAAGCCTGAGCTGAGCGGCGGCTAAGACCAAGGCAGTCTACATTCTGCACTGGCTGGAGACATTGAATCGTGGTGACGTTGGCTTAGCTGCTCATGGAGCCGCCAAGTCGCCGTGCGAGTACGACGACGTGGAGGCTGAGACTCACAGTGGAGCAGATACCACGAGTAATTGTTCAAATGGTGATACAAGCACCAAACTCGACGCGCATTATCTCCTGTCCCTTAATAAAAAAAAACAGTGATCTGGGGCGCACGTGTGCGTGGTGAGGTGCCATGTGTGTGATAAGCCACGTGCGTGCATGGTGGTGAGGCTACGTGTGTGTGTGGTGGGGAGTCACGTGTGTATGATGGTGAGCCACGTGTGTGTATGGTGGTGAGCCAGTTGTGTATGGTGGGGAGCCACGTGTGTGTATGGTGATGAGCCACGTATGTGTGTGGTGGTGAGCCACGTATGTGTGTGTGTGTTGGTGAGCCACGTGAGTGTGTGTATGATGGTGAGCCAAGTGTGTGTATGGTGGTGAGCCACGTATGTGTGGTAAGCCACGTGTGTGTGTGTGTGTATGTTGGTGAGCCATGTGCGTGTGTGTGTGTGGTAAGCCACGTGTGTGTGTGGTAAGCCACGTGTGTGTGTGTGTGTTGGTCAGCCACGTGAGTGTGTGTATGGTGGTGAGCCATGTGTGTGGTAAGCCACGTGTGTGTATGGTGATGAGCCACGTGTGTGTGTGTGTGGTAAGCCACGTGTGTGTGTGTGTATGTTGGTGAGCCATGTGCGTGTGTGGTGGGGAGTCGGGCCATCACTATAGCGCTCAAAATAGCACGGCCGCCTTTGTGTTCCTGTGGGACACGAGGGAGGGGCAGACAGGGGGAGGCAGTGTTTCATGACAATACATAATACGCACAACACACACAATGCATTACATAATCACAATACATGACACAATACATCAATTACGTTACCGACAATATATGCAATACGCTAAACACGATATTATACAGTACCCAATGATATAATACATTTTAAACAAACTACGTTACATCATCCATAACAAAGAGTACACAAAGTAAAATACAATACACTATATACGATTTATATCTAACGCGCAATATCTGGACAAAAACAATGGTTGGATATTTGTAGGAATACACTCATTCCAATATACATACTGCCAATTGTTTAATCTGTTACAGTTCCATTTCCAAATAGAGCGATGGGCTTTGACTTTGCACACACGAAGCTAATAAGACGTGCCCTGAACGTTGTGAAAGCCCCACTTTGAAATGCTCTGGCAGTGTGGAAATGATTTGTCATCGGCGTTACTCAATGTTACAAACGCACATTCAAAAACATGAGCGGAAGTGGGATATTATGGCGTGTGACTATACTTGCGAAATAAATTCCAGAGTTCGTGTAGATTTGTTTTTCCTTCTCCTTGTCTTCAGAGCAACCACCAACCATTATTGACATGACACGGAGGGGGGGGGGGGGGCATTAATCTGGCAGTGGATTGACAAAAGGGCCCGTAAGTTATTATTACACATGTAACCCAAGTTCTTGACGCGATAATTGAGTTTTCTTTTGTAAATATTGTAATCTGGGGCAAAAAAGTCAAGCTGTATTTGCTAAGTACCAGTAACCTGATTAAGTACTCATAACAGACCACTTATTCATATTCTTAGCTCTTTCGGTAAAGTCACGTTGAAGGGAAACAATAAAATATATAAAACAATAAAAATTCCTACGACGTTTCGACCATAACACAAACGGTCGTCATCAGGTGTGTCGGTTTGCATAAATAAATAAAGAGCTAAGAATATGAATTACTGCAGTCACGAAAGCTTTAAATCAAAACAGACCACTTGTTTTAACACTGGATTACTACTCGTACATGATGGCAGCAAAGTCGTATCTTTCCACTGTACAACACGTACTGCCTGTCAATCCACTGCGAGACGAGGGCCTTCCCACACCCTGACCGCGTTGGTCAGTGCGGGTTATTGACAATTGCACAGGAGCGGTTCGATTATCGCTCACCAGCGATGTAAGTCTTGGTTGGGAATCAAACCAAGTTCACTTTGGTGGAGCGAGCCATTGCTCCACCAAAAAACAGGGCTTGGGTGAATGCAACACAAAAGCACAATGTGTATGACTCGCCCCAACAATTGACAGCCATGAATCTCCAGTCGAGTTTAATGCAGGTTATAAGGGAACTAGGTACGAATATTTCAGTGCAAAATGAGAACAAATACATTTTTATAAAATGATAAGTATAAACTGTGGAAACGTCTAACAAAAGTTGATTGATTCGTGCCGAAATTTTATTTTAATATTTGAATGCATAGAATGGTTCTCAATATTTAGCGAGGAAAGCATATCGAGTTTCAAGGCCGATTTCCAGGAGACTCTTGCAGCACGATGTTTGACTAATTACCTTAATGAGTTGCGTGGCATGGCGGAGGAACTAAATATCATCGGTTAAAAAATAATAATCAGCCAATGTCTATCTACTGCTGGATGAAAGCCTCCGATGATTCTCGCCATCCTTTATGGTTCGGAGATTTTAAACAATATCCATTTCCCTCCTGCACATGAACTGATGTGATCGCTGTGCTGGTTGGCCCCCTTGATGCGTTCCCTCCTTTGGCTGCGATTCCATCACCAGTCTCGCCCATTTGATAAAAAAAACCCATTTGAATTGAATGCGATAAAGCTTTACAACGTATAATGAATATTTAAATATTTACCATTTGGCGTATATAAAGAATACACATTGTATGGATGTACAGCATGTAATTTAGCAATCACATCGTGGAACGGGAGATAAATAAACGACAATAGTTGTATTTGTCACATCACATGTAGCTAGCTATGTTACATATACATTCTTCGTGCCGCGTTTGTGTTGCTGATAAAAGAAGTCGAATATTTCGTAGATCCCACTGTGTACGGGTCCACGGTTGTGCTACACAGCTGTCTGTAGAGCATGTCGTTCAGAATGACGTCCGGTACGCTCCACGTGCTGGGATTTTCTTCACGAACTGAAACGTAAAAGACGTGCCGAATAACGTGTGGTAACACAACCCGAAAACACACACATCGGAGTGCTGTGCTTTGTTGATCGCCTAACTGACCGTCGGGACAAAGCGACTTATCTTCACCTTCACCCTTCATCATGGCCTGAGCTCTGTGCCTCTAGAAAAAAAATTGATTAGCATGCAGAGCGCTCAGCTGCGCGAATTCGTTTAGGGCCAATTGGGAATTCCCGTTCGTATTTTTGTTTTTTATTAACGCGCTGAGTACATGGCTGCTTCATTGCAGCAAGTAATGCCGTGTTGCACGTTTTACGTGTTCGGACAGTCATGCGATACGTAACGCATTCATCTTACCACTTCGGTCGATAAGTACATGACGCACGGCTGTACTGTACGCGAGCCATTGTTCTTTATTTTGCAAGGTTACGAGCCAGTCTGGTTCACTCTCACTTTTGAAAGACCCTGGTAACCATGGTCATATTTGGGACTTCATCATTTTTATCGGGTGGTAATTTTCCCCCAAGGTCTCTCTTGAGAAAGACGTGCATCTCAATGGTCTCTTACCTATGTAGCCGACAGCTGACATTTCTATTCTTGCTTCTTTCTGTAAAGTCACGTAGAAGGGAAATGATAAAAATAAAACAATAAAATTCTCACGACGTTTCGATTGCAACACAAGCAATCATCATCAGGTGATTGTTTGTGTTCCAATCATCATCAGGTGATTGCTTGTGTTGCAATCGAAACGTCGTGAGAATTTTATTGTTTTATTTTTATTATTTCCCTTCTACGTGACTTTACCAAAAGAACCAAGAATATAAATCCCTGCAGTCACCGAAGCTTTAAAACGAAAGCTGACATTTCATCACGTAGCTGCAGACAATAGAAATGGATATTTACACCAGGTTCAGCAGTGTCCACTTTGCAGCACATTACAGGCTTTTTGGGTAAATCCTGTAAACAATAGCAATTGCTGACCGGCAAACCGTAAACTTTGGGCAAAATTGTATCGTACACTACTCAGATTGTAAAAAAAAAAATCCATTCAATTATAATTGAGTTATATACAAACACGTCTGTGTGCAATTAATAAACCATTAGATTTGATCAACCGCAAAATCCAACCAAGTAATGTGTTTTTTTTTTAATCAAAGCCACTAACACTTATTTCGGCCAATTGCCTTTTTAGTAAAACAAATGTAAACACATCTATTGGCAGTTTTTTCATCATCGATTTTCAGAGTAAATGTTCATTGCCTGGCTGCGGCTGCTGTTTCCAACCGCGACCCCCACACACTGCCCCGGTGTTTTCATTCATGTCAATGTGTTTGGGGGGGGGGGGGACATTTGGCCTATCTCAGTAGGGCGTTACTCGGGGCCATCTGTCAACCGAACAATTGGGCCAAGCCTTGGGAAACCCTGGCCCAACCCATGGGAACGCAGGCGCCTTTGTCTTGCCAGGCTGTTGTTCACAGTGTGGCGCAAGTCAGATTTATAATTGTGGCTTTTTGGAAGGGGTTTTAAAAAAAAAATCAACGATTACATTTTACCACGGGCTGTCACAATTCTGATGCTGGAGTCGTAGGTGTAGCAAATTCCTCTGCAAGCGACCTGAAGCAGCAAAGCATCACTCACATTCACTGGAAATCAAAATGACGGCACGAGATTCACGTTTGTGGCAGATTGTGTAAAACGCGTTACTACTCGATATCCACAGAAGTTATGGCAAAAAAAAACTGAAGGTGATTTCGGCACAAGAGCTTATTTAATGTGACTTATGCGAGAGGTAATAATGTACATATCGAAGCTCATATGGTGAGTGAACGGATGTACAAAATAAAATCGTCTTTGTCAATTAACTGTTAAAGCCACCTTCCCCCCCCACAAACAATTCGGCCAAAAGGGTTATTTGAACCTCATGGCGGGACCCCGGGGTCCCATCAGCCACCGGCTCTCGCATAAACTGCTTTGCGACGTAATTTTATGTCTGTTGAAGGCGAACGATACGGCGATCTGTTGATCTCGACGAGCTCTACACGATGCGCTCATCAAAGTTTCAAAGTTTTATTTCTTCTGCGTGTTCGTCCTCGCTGCTGCGCTTGGACATGACATGACAACAGAACGATCTGGGCCAGGTGGGTCGCGGCGTTCATGTGCGTGGTGGGACGGAGTCGGCAAAAAAGAAATAAATTCATTACAACTTCCGTTTATTCGGGACACCGGGGTCCCGCCATAAGGTTCATTTGACCAAACCACGCTGGTCAGTGCGGAATCAGTCTCTACTGTGTATCACTCGTCACTGAATAATAATCAAATCGCTGGGTTCATAATACAATACATTTTTAAATTACGTTTTTTTCAAGCAAATGCTCCTTCATTATCTTTAAATGAAAGAGCGATTTGACGCGTGGTAACTGTTATGTCCATTTCATTCCTAACTAAAATCTGGAAATTAAACAGCGCCCCACAGCGCTTTTGCGCGAGATTGGTTAAAAAAAAAATAACCACGCATGCGTCGTGCGTGAGACCCCTGGCCTATAACGTATTGCCACGTGGAATAGATGTTATAAACGAGCTGTTACACCTCCGTAGACATCTATACAACGTATGTATGCGGTGTATATTCGCTCGGATGAAGGGACGATGCCCAAAACGTCGCCTATTATGTATTTTTTTAAAGCAGCGGCGTTCATGACGAATGTTCCGCAGCCACTAGAGGCGCTGCTACATTGATCACAATTTATAAAGCAAAAAAATCATGATTTGCATCGTGACCACAAATCGTGACATATAACTCAACGGCAAAGGGGGGGGGGGGGGCGAATAATTAACATGCTTAACATTCCACGTGAAGTGTCAAGTCATGCTGCCATGATCACGGTATAACATGCTATCGTACTTATCCTATTATTGCTTAAAAAGCAGTAGTGTTCAAAGTGATGGTAACTCACCGATTCACTCAAGTCACAGGCGGTAATTTACCTCCGTATCACTCTTGTATCGCTACGAACCCATTGTTACGGATGTCACGGTTACAGTGGTTAACTTTCGTGACTCATAGTAAGATGTGTCCGAGTTCGACTCCTGACACGCGAACGTTTCTGTAGAACTTGTATGTTCTCCCCAATGTCTCCCAAAGTGAAAACAGATTCATATTTCTTGGTTCTTTCGGTAAAGTCACGTAGCAGGGAAACAATAAAATTTTAAAAAAATGTTACCGAAAGAACCAAGAATATGAATCCCTGCAGTCACGAAAGCTTTAAATCAAAATGAAAACAGATTGTATAACTGGCATTGGGCCAAACATCCCAATGGTGAAACATGACCCGCAAATTTCTCGATTAGGATTACACACGCCAACATCGTAAACATACAAACACTACACCATCGGAACCTCCTTTGCCAGGAGCAAAATGATAATTGTTTTTTTACCCTTTTATCTGGCAACAAAACTGACACCTTTTTTTTACAAGGAATCATGTTTACATTGACCACAATACCTGCGGTCGGAATGCAAACGATAAACATAACTCTGATAATGTATTGGCAGTCCTTGAAATTGATTGGTCCACACCCGAGACAACTTTCCTTAGAGCCTAGTCTCACATGGTGTTGGACCAGATGACGCCACGTGGTCTCACATGGTGTTGGACCAGATGACGTCACATGGTCCCACATGGTGTTGGACCAGATGACGCCACGTGGTCTCACATGGTGTTGGACCAGATGACGCCACGTGGTCTCACATGGTGTTGGACCAGATGACGCCACGTGGTCTCACATGGTGTTGGACCAGATGACGACACATGGTCCCACATGGTGTTGGACCAGATGACGCCACGTGGTCTCACATGGTGTTGGACCAGATGACGCCACGTGGTCTCACATGGTGTTGGACCAGATGACGCCACGTGGTCTCACATGGTGTTGGACCAGATGACGTCACATGGTCCCACATGGTGTTGGACCAGATGACGCCACGTGGTCTCACATGGTGTTGGACCAGATGACGCCACGTGGTCTCACATGGTGTTGGACCAGATGACGCCGCGTGGTCTCACATGGTGTTGGACCAGATGACGCCACTTGGTCTCACATGGTGTTGGACCAGATGACGCCAAAAGGCGCCTTTTAGCGTCAGGACGCCTTTTGACGTCATCTAGTCCAACACCATGTGGCGTCATCTGGTCCAACACCATGTGAGACTAGGCTCTAAAGAAAGCTGTCTCGGGTGTGGACCAATCAATTTCAAGGACAGTGCCAATACATTATCAGTTTTGTTTTTTGTTTGCGTTCCGACCGCAGGTATTGTGGTCAATGCAAACATGACTCCTTGTAAAAAAAGGTGTCAGTTTTGTTGCCAGATAAAAGGGTAAAAAAACCAATGATCATACAAACACTATTCTCATTAACTCCACTCAATTGCTTTCTTCACCCGTATTGAAGGACCCTCTTATACCCGACTGGTATAAGTGAGTCTCATTCACACGGTCTTCAACCACCATAATGCAAAACACTTTACTGACCATCTGTGGAAAAAAAAAGCTTCATAGCTCATCGGATTTCTCCAGCATAAAGATTCTGATTCAGACTTGTATTTGCTCGCACACATTATTGTAACCCTGCCTGCTTTAAGAAACATAATCCATGCTGCTTGCAAACTTTGGGTCTCTCAGCCTGTGCTCAACTTGTGATAAAAAAACATTTTTTCAAAGTTATTAACAATTTAAACTAAACTTCATAACACGATGCTACCATTAAGGTTATCATCCATATGTATGCATGCATGTCTACTGGATGAATCAGATGAGCTACAAAGCTCTTTATTCCCAGTAGTTTTCACAGGAACATCAAGACTTACAGTCGCGTTATGATGACTTATCAACTTGCATCCATCCGCACAACGAACACAAACCCCCCCCTGCACAGGAACACGCGAATCCACGTGGCTCCTCCAGTGCGGCAAAGCGGCCAACCACCGTCCACCCCCTCATCACCATCATCCATCGTCGTGAACCACCACACGCAGCACAGGTCGTGAACCACTTGTCAACACGTGGCTCCCTCAACGTGAGAGTAGCGAAACGACACGAACTCTCAGACAAGAAGTTCCTCGTCGGTGTGGTGGTGGTGGTGGTGGCGGCGGCGACAGCGGCGTTGGCGAGCTGACCCGCGGCGGGTGAGGACGTCGTTCACTTTCACCTCTCCTATAACAACGATTCGGATCCAGATCCCCGACGCATGTTGTGTATTTATTTGGAGTTTGCGGCGTCTCTCTTCCCGTGGTCACGCACGCGTTCAGTCTAATTCGGCAGCTATCAATGTGTATCCATGTGAGTGTCCACACGATATTAAGACACTCCGTCGAGATATCGTTTTGGGATAGCCAGGTCGCGTTCTGAAAAAAAAAAGAAAGAGCTCAGTTGGACTATCTCTGGTAAAGTGAAAATAGCGAAGTTTCTATTTGCGGTTTCACAATTTGTTGAGGTCTCAAGTTTAATGACAAAATCGCCGCGCCGAGCGAAAGACGAAGAAGAGACGTCACCCAGACTGCGTGAGCCGTGCGTGGTGTGATTGACATGACGTCACGGTGTGAGATGACGTATTTTTTTCGGTGGGAGGGGTTTGAGGAAAGGGGCGAGGAGAGAGACGTGACGTCACCACGCGGGGGTTTTTACGGGAGAGGAAGTGACGTCACTACAATTCGGCGGGGTTTAAGTCTGAGCGAGGGGACGCGTGGAGGCAGGTCACCAAGAGGGGTTGGAAGTGACGTGACGTCACGGGGTTGCAATGACGTCAGTTTTTCAGTGGGGGGGGGTGGGGTTGAGGAAAGGGACGAGGGACGTGACGTCAACACGCGGATTTTTGCCGGGGAGAGGAAGTGACGTCACCCTAAGTCGGCGCGGTTTAAGTGTGAGCGAGGGGACGCGTGGAGGCCGGTCACGAAGAGGGTTATCGTTTGATGTGTGACGAGAGGTAAGTGGCGTCGTCGTCATCATCATCAAATCGGCGGGAATGAGTGACTGTACCGGATTGTTCAGGAAGAGAGGAAGTGACGATCCCACGAAGAGATATGCGTTTGCATGGCGGGAGGAAGTGACGCGTGCTTTACGCGTTTCAGCAGCCTGTTTCTCTATCCCACCTGTGGACGATTGCTTGCGTGGCGATCGAAACGTCGTGATCTATCATGTTTTCTACCCTACGTGACTTTACCGAAAGAATCAAAGAGTAGGGAGTAAACATCTTTGCCGGGGGAGGGGGGGGCACGGAGTGACACGGAAGGAGGGGTGATGGGACGGATGTGACGTCATCAGTTTAAGCGGGAACACGCAAGGGGGGCGTGACGTAGAGTCACGGGCCCGTGTTCCAGTTGTGTGACTGGACGGAAGTTGTGTGGCCGCGAGGGGGGCGGTTTACATGACGTCATCGCGCGTTAGCCCGGGTTTCCCCTTACGTTTTCCGTGCTACTGGACGGAAAACGTAAGGGGGTGGTTACGTGACGTCATCACGTGAAGAAGGCGCGGGTCCGTTGTGCAACTTGACGGAACTCGCGTAGCCGGCGGCGGCGAGGGGGGGAGGCTGGCCCCGAACCATTCAGAGACGGGCTGGTGGGGCGCGTGGGTTGTGCTTGACGTCATCGCGCGATAGCCCGGCCGGGGTTCGTCGTCTCCACGGAAGTGGGTGAAGAAGGCGGGGGGGGGGCGGGGCTACAGGGAGCGGGGGGCGGGGCTGAGCTGGGGGCGGGGCTACAGGGAGCGAGGGGCGGGGCCTCCGCGCCGCCATGTCGCGCTCGGGGCTCGCGGGGGGGGAAGATGGCGGACTTCTCTCTCGGGGTCGCGCAGGCGGCCGCGGCGGCGGGCGGCGGCGCCGGGAGCCTCAAGCCCGAGGTGTTTGCCGACGCCGTGCAGCGCGCGCGACAGGTCTCGGCTCGACACGCACTCGCGGCCGCTTTGCGGAGGCGTCGGGGGGCTCCCGCGGCCGCGACGGGGGACGCCCCGAGAGTGTGTGTGTGTGTGTGCCTGCGGCCTCCATGTGCGCTTGCGGCCTTCGTGTGTGGCGGGTCTCGGGGTGTTCTGTGTCGGGGGTTCCCTTTGTGTCTCTAAGCGTGTCTGCTAAGGCCTGTGCGTGCGTGTGTGTGTGTCCGCGTAGGGTCCATGTATGTCTCGTATGTGTGTAAGCCGTAAGTGTGTCCAGGTAGGGCCCATGTGTGTCGATGTAGGTGTGGGGTGAGGTCCGTGTGTGGTGTGCGTGTGTAGAGTCAACGGGGTTCGGCGTCTCCCCTACATTCACGTGTCTCCCCGTTTGTAGGGTCTGTGTGCGGCTGTGTGTTGTATGTCCAAGTGTCCATTTAGGGTACATTTTTGCCTTTGTCGCCTTGTTCATCTGTCCCATGTGTAGGGTCAATGCGTCTTCGTTTGTATATGTACAAAGCACGTGTCCGATTTCCATGTCCGGCTCTGTCATTGTATTCCAGTGTCTTCGCGTGTCTGTGTCTTTTGTCTCCATGGGTGTGCCATAAAATATCTATACAGTCTTGTCTGTTTGTTTGCCTCTTCGTGTCTTTTGTGGGGCCTATGCTGACCCCATGCTTCTCGAGGGTCGCTATCATTACCGTGCCGATGTACATCGAGTTGCTCTGCACTACATTCTCCGTGCAATCTGACCCCCTGGCTCGTGATGCGAGTTTACGCATTATTATTATCATAATCATCGGTGCTTTGCATTGCCATTGTAATCGTGGCGAGGCCTGAAGCTAGTCTAGCGGGCCGCGCTTTGGCGCGAACGCGGGCGACCGATGGTAAACCCTCGCCTTGGGGGTGGGGGGGAACGTGGGGCCTGGGGGGCCCGGGGGGCGAACGTGGGACCTGGGGGGGGGAACGTGGGGCCTGGGGGGCCCGGGGGGGGGAACGTGGGGCCTGGGGGGCCCGGGGGGGGAACGTGGGGCCTGGGGTGCCCGGGGGGGGGGAACGTGGGGCCCGGGGGGGAAACGTGGGGCCTGGGGGGCCCGGGGGGGAAACGTGGGGCCTGGGGGGCCCGGGGGGGAAACGTGGGGCCTGGGGGGCCCGGGGGGGAAACGTGGGGCCTGGGGGGCTCGGGGGGGGGAAACGTGGGGCCTGGGGGGCCCGGGGGGGATCGTGGGACCTGGGGGTCCGGGGGGGGGGAACGTGGGGCCGGGGGTGGAACGTGGGGCCCGGGGGGGGAACGTGGGGCCTGGGGGGCCCGGGGGTGGAACGTGGGGCCTGGGGGACCCGGGGGGGGGGAACGTGGGGCCTGGGGGGCCCGGGGGGGGATCGTGGGGCCTGGGGGTCCGGGGGGGGGACGTGGGGCCTGGGGGACCCGGCGGGGGGGAACGTGGGGCCTGGGGGGCCCGGGGGGGAACGTGGGGCCTGGAGGACCCAGGGGGGGAACGTGGGGCCTGGGGGGCCCGGGGGGGAGAACATGGGGCCTGGGGTGCCCAGGGAGAGAACGTGGGGCCCATGCGGAACGTGACTCCTGTTGCACGGGGCCCAGGGATTATCTATCCGCGGCCCAGGGAGTGTGAGACCTGGTGTCGTGGCCACTAACTACAATAGTGGGACCGAGGGGGCAACGTCGGAACCGCATGTGGACACGGATCTAGTCAAACAGCCGCTATAAACCCAGGGGACAAGTCGTAACCTACTTTTGTTTAGGAGCCATGGAACGGGGGGGGGGGGCTGAATCCATGATGGTCGCGACCTGTCCCGGAATCCCGAGATTCATGTGAACCCCCCCACCCACGTTTACACTGGAGCCCCGCCTAGCGGGGGCGGGGGGTGCTTCGTCGCGTCCCCCGAGCCCCCGTGGCGCACGGGGGGAGAGAGAGAGGAGGGGGGGGTCCCTTATTCGAAAGGAAAGGGTGTAACAAGACGGCTCAGTGAGGGAGAGAGAGAGACGGGGGGGTTGCCTGCTACGCGAGAGAAGAGAGAGAAGACCCCCTTGCCCCGATAACGTGGACACTTTAAAGGAAGAGCGTGGAGTTGGGAGCCGTAACCTCGTCGCGGCCTGTAGTACAGTAAGTCAGCAGGCGGGTGGTGGGTGGGGGTGGGGGGCCTTTCCGAGGTCGTGCTAAGTGCTGGCGAGGCAACGTGTCCCGTAACACACACACAATTTAAACCGTGTCGCCGTGAATGTTGAGCGCGATAGACTAGGGTCCGTCCCTCCCGTCCCTCCCTCCCTCCCTCCCCGAGTTGAGTTCTCGGCGAGGAAAGGCGTGCGAGTGTTGGGAGGCGTGTGCGCGCAGCCCTGGGCCTTTCCACGTGGACACGTGTTGAGGCCTCCGCAGCCCGCATCGTCCTAGCCGCCCCCCGCTTCTCGGCGCCCGCGTGTGCGCCTTCGCGTGATAATAAGTCGTCGTGCTGTTTGCTATCCCCACCGCTTGTATTGATTTATCCGTCGTGTACTAGCGTTCGGGCCGCTATACGCTAGGTCGTGTATTTACGGTTGCTACTGCTACTACTGCTGCCGCCGCCGCCGCATGAGCCGCGCCGTAAGTATCTCGTTGTGTGTTACGCCGCATTATAAAGGGCTACCATTGTTGAGCCTTTTTGTTGTTGTTGTTGTTGCTCTCCAAATCCGCAACAGTGCGTCTGATTTTTTTGTGTGTGTTTCGTTGTTCTAAATCCTCATCTTCCAACTTAAACGTTGGTTTTTCATCGTTTTATATTTTAAGAGAGCGTAGTCATTTGGGTTGAAACCAAATCGCGCCGTGTACACAGCAACTACTGTACGTGTCGGGTTAAGTTATTTTTTTTTTGCGCGGCGCGTTGGTTTTACCACTTGTTAGGTCGACGGATGATGTGAAGCCGCGTTACCACTGGCACTTTTGTGCGATGTGAACGTTAGGGTTTGTTCTTCGACTAGACTGACCCGACCGCATTAGGAATGTGGAATTACCGCTGTCGGCTTCGAGGGCCGCCGAAGAGAACGAGTGCCGCCCGCCCATTGTGTTAATTTTGAGCCGGGGGAAGGTTGGTGCGGTACCGCAGGTAAAAAAAAAACCCACTCGCTTCGTGTGTAGGTGATCTCGTGCTGCTGTATTTCTATAACCGGGAGTATTTGTTGTAATTATCGCTCAATACGCACTAAACAGTCTGGTTAAATGAGGTAAACCCCCCCCCCCCCCCGCATGATCGGCGACGTGGGAAGGGGGACTCTCCCCCTCCAGTCGTGGATTAACAAAAAGTGGCCGTGAATGTATACAAATTAACAAGTCCTTGTATTTATTTTCATTGTATTTAAGTTAACTTTGACCCGTCCTTTGGTACAAAAAGAGACGTATTTATCTTAATTTGTCTCGTCCGATTTATGTAAAGTTTTTAAACAACGATACCTCGAATGTGCAGTGTTGAGAGGATGTGGGGTGGTGTACAGTCCTCGTGCACTTCAGATAACGCCCCGACAGTAGTTTAATGACGGGTCTAAAAATGCAGCACAGTACAATAGACCTATTACTACATTGGGGCCGCACCTCGAATTCAACCCCTTTGTAGTTGCAGGCAATGCTACATTTTGTATGACTTTAGGTAAAATTTGATCGTGATTCATGATGTAATGAGAAATGGGAACAAAAGTGGCTTGTAGTTTTTGCACCGTCATTGAGTGTGCAGTACTATGTATTACCTGCCGGCTGATTTGACGGCAAACGAGTATAATTTACCCAACGTTTGGAAAATTATTTGCAGAAAGTTGCTCTTTCACCTGCGCTCGTCATTATAACGATCTTCAAGTCTTAAGTATATTCCTCTAGACGGGAATGGCTTTCGTGGGAGCTAAACTAAAACTCAAAATTTTCATGCTCTTATTAAAATAAAAATACACGGAGGAACTTAAAAAAAAGGTATGCAGTATATTCAAGGCAAACAATGACAGAGGGGGGGGGGAGTGACTACTACTACTACTCTCACAGGTGGTTTCACAAAGTTTCTTGAACATGGTGTGCAGGGGTCAGAAAAGTCCACCCGCGAAGTTGGACTTTTCTGATCGTTATGTATCTGCGAAGAGGAGGCCATACCATCGGGCCGTGCCACAGATACTCGCATGCCTTTGCCGTCCGCGCACTTTGTCGTCGTCGTGTGCTTACAGTGGGCACATGGGGAGATAAGAGAGAGAGAGCCCCACCGCCTGGCACGTGTTCAAGTGAACACAGGCGCGAAGCGCACTGCCCCTGCCTCTGCTGCCACTTGTTGTTGCGGGCAGCTTTACAGGAGAGAGAGAGAACCCGCACACTCCCCACCACCACGTAGGGTGAATGAAGCGATCCGCTTGCCCGCGAATCAAAAGACGGCTCTCATCCCGCGACTGGCCCCAAGCGGCATCAAAAGTGTCGTAGCAACGAGCACGTGACGACGCGGGCCCTCCGCTTGTCTCCACTGAGCGGCACGGGCCCGCCAAGCGTGATGAGAGAGGCCCTCCCCCATCACCGGCTCGTTAGAGCGTGGAGACATTGCGACTCGACTTTACTCTCATCGAGCAAATGCGCAGGGGGGGGGGGGGGGAGTTGAATTCGCACTGTAACTCTTACGTAATGGCCCTGTATACATTCTGGAGTGATTTGCAAGGAATTTGCACGGCAATAATTTTGGATTAGGGATGTGTATTCTAGTTTTGTGTTTCAGTCTTGAACTTTTGATTGACCTGATAATTTTCTGCGAAGCATACGCATTCCAAATGTCTGTGGTTTCGGTCTCCCAGCAAGACATTTGATGTGCGCTTGATGATATTTTTCTATTTTTTTTAAATGTACCTGTTTATATTACACCGTGAATGGCGATAGATACAAAAAAATCCTGCCGTACTGGAACAGGCATGCTTGTTGTCACCTTTTCGCTTCTTTCGAAAGCTGCATGTTTAATTTGGCACTGTGACGGCACCCGTCGACAAGCCTGTGCTGTTGAAGTTGTGATTTGGCTTTGGAGTAAAGTTTATGCGATTGCGCTGCATAGGGCATAGCCTACGGTCACATCAAAATGGCCCATCGTACGTATGTATTTACTGTGTTGAACTTCTTTCTAACCATATGTAGCCAACCGTGCTCATCGGAAGTGCGGTATAGTGCCGCTGGAGAGCACGTGGTTTTTTTCTTCATTTTTACTGCTCACCTAATTGTGTATTTCGAGGTGCCGTAATGTAAGAATTGAGATGAATGATCACTCGGTGTTAAAGACCAAGACATTTACTTATACCTGACAACATTTGTTTTCTTGACCGAGTCATATTTGGCCAAAATATCTGCTCCGCCGTCCCTCGCCATATCCTTGGGTTTTTGTTGGCCTTGTTTTTTAAAGCGTAGGTGTGAATCCCGGCTTTGTTTTCTTCCCTAACGAAAGCACACCGTCATTGAATTGGCGCTGGATCGTTTGCGTGCTACGTCTTGTTGTTTATGCGTCGCGTCATTACTCAGAAATACAGCTGCTTCGGCCACGGCAGGCATCGCTCGGGTGCAAGCTGGCGACATGAATCTGTGTCGATTTGCGCACGCACATCTGGTCATGTGTAACGTTAGAAAACCTATTATGGAGGTCGTTAAGGAATGTTTTCTTAGGCCCCGGTAAACATACTTGCATTTCTCTTAAATTGAAATTGGGAGTTCCAGGTGGTTTTTTTTTCGTACGTTATTGAGATGCTCATTTATTAGTGGGCTAAAGTTTCTACCGTTAGAGTGTGAAAATGGTAGCTGATTAAAATGTTTTAAATCTTACTTTGGGCTTAATCCCACCGTGTAGTACCGACGATGCTCATTGGATATGCCCAAGTTAGTGTATACCTGCTCAAGGGAACAATGGAGCTGCACTCATTACCATTGACAGTCCTGAGCCAATGTTGTTAATTCCACCTATCCATGGCTGAGCTCACTTTCACATAAGACAATTGCTGTTAACTTTCCACTCAGCGACCACAGAGAGATCATATGCCGAGTTGACCCTCGGACATTTTCAACCTTGTGATTGAGTCGGGTGATAGCTTTTGAGATTAGAAAGATTTATTTTAACAAGTGGAGTAAAAAAACCGTAGCTTATTTGTACGCGTGATATTAATTTGTAAGCAAGGCTGAAGCGCGGCACAGTATACCAGGGTTGAATAAGTTGACGAGGAGACAACCGTGTGTGTGTGTACAGTTGAGAAACCTGATTGCAAACTGTTTTAAACCTTTCCACAGTGGTACTGCGCTTTGCATTGACATTTGATGCATTTTTCTTGCACAGTGTTCGGGTCTTTTGAGATACTCAAGTTGACGATTTGAAAATGCCCTTTATTGCTCAAAATGCTGACCAGTGTTGCGCTGAAGGGAACATAATGGCCGACTCATTGTACTTTCTGTGGTCTTGCAGGAGAGGGGGTGTTGTGTTCCTGGTTGGGGTGGTGGTCTGTCGAACTCACATGTCGTTTTGTTTGCACTGGTTTAAGCGTCTTAGTTTTCTGTGTGCGTTTTCACCTTTTTTTAGTCGTAAAGTAGTTTTGTGTTGTAGATACAACGTATGGGTTTTGCATTAACGTGATGAATACACTACCACCAATTGTAATTCGTGAGCCATGAATTTAGGACACTGCACAGTCAAATGCTGCTTCAGCTACATTTCTGCCTTCCCTTTGTGCTGCTGTAAGGGAAGGCCGTTGCTCTTAATGTTATTGAATGACAACACATTTCTACTTGGAAGGCAGAGATGGTTGTACTTGTGGGAAAGTTGTTTCGAAGAGAAATCGCCACCTTTGTCACGTGGAAGGTACACCATTGAGATGAGTGCTGCGCCATTGCTCTTTGGAGCAAAGAGGGCCATTTGAATCGCGTTTGACTTGAAAGTGTTCTGTTCCGTATATAGGATTAGGGTTTCAGCCTCTGCTTTGTACAGTGACATCCAATTGGTGTGTGCTTTTGAAAAGTACAACGAAAGTTTTTAGCCGAATCTTTGTGGTTTTTTTTAACAAGGAGCATTGTGTTTGAAATCTCTTGCACGTCTGTGCATCGGTTACTGACACTTAACCAGGCGAATATCCACGGAGATTGGGAATCTCTAGTAAGGAGAGCTGAGGAATTGTATGCCTAACGTCTGGAACGTCCGCTGTGACAGCAGCATGCATTGGCCCGTTTCTGCGAATAACAGCGTTTCAAGCTGCTTCATTTGAATGTAATGTTTACTGCAGATGAGTGAATGTGTTAGTGCATACGAACCTCCCGGGCATAACTTGCCTCCTGTGGACCTTGAGACTTTTAGTGTACAACCTTGCTCGATGGTTTTCATGCAGGAGCGCATTGAATTGATTTGCTGTTTGTGGTGCTCGTGTCAATCAGCATCCAGGAATCGCATTGTAATGTTTCCCCGCTCGCTTGGAAGGCTTGCTTCATGAGGAACTTGTCAACGTGAAAAGTCTGCGTTAAGCCGCTGAAGGGGATTGCTGTGACGAGCAGTGCCACACGCACCAGAGCGTTTACGCTCCACGCAAGTGTCACACGCTTGCCCTCCCACGGGTCCCCCCCTCCCTCCGCATATG